CCGACAGACAGATGAATGGGATGAGTCGAGGAACAGATACACGGCGCCTCCACCCCACCCTTCGCGAGGAGCAGCAGCGCCTCGTTCGAGATCGTCGCCGGCGCGTCCGTCGTGTCCCTGCTCGTCCGCTGAATTACAACCGCGAATAAAAGCCAATACGAGGCGGAGAGCGCACCAAATAACGTTATGGCGCTGGAAGGAATACCACACCGTCCCGCGGCTGGACCGTGGGGTGCGCACTGGTGCGCACCGCCGCCGCGAGCATCACCGCGGAAAGGTCGATTCGAAGTTGAGCTGCATTACGGGGAATTTGACCGTGCTTGTTGTGAGGAAGACCGAAGAGCCCTGCGGACAGTAAGGGCACGACGCGCGTCATATACCACCCAGCCGGCGGAGCTGCTCGCCGGTGGTGTGAGCCGGCGTGCCGCCCCGGGCTGTTTTTAGACGGCGGCCGTTGGGCGGCAGAGAGCGAGGCTGGGTTCCTGGGTCAGGCAGGGTCAGGCGCGGCGGCTAGGATGTTCTAAGGGTTCGTACCAGCGTCGAGGGCGGTCAGCTGGCTGGAACAAGACCGCGGACACCGCCTATGCCGATTTAGAAGCGGCCAGAGCCCAGCGAATCGAAATCCCTGGACCGTTGTGGAAGCGCGACCTGCCTCACACGTCGCCTTTGATTCCCAAGCCAGCTAGGCCGTCCGACCAAATATTCCATCATGGCACACCAGAATTTTGTTTTCTCCTTCCACTCATTCCTCATCACTCATTTCACCCGTACTCACCTCTCTCATATCTTACACAGACACTATTTGTTTCGTACTATGTACCGCCAACACGAAGAGTCAAACCAAGTCCTCGGGCATCTCGGACTACGCCGGGGATCGATTTGAAGTGGACTGGGCACCCATCTTCAGCGCTGAGCGGGGCGGCGTTAATCTCCCTATACGTCTTTGCGTACCTCCCGGATGACTCGTTGGGCGAAGGTTTGATTTTAACTGAGGCTTTCTAACGGACTCTCTTACATACATCGGTTTATATCTATTTGCACTGGACCAACATTACGTTACTTTTCCTTTTTGTCTTTTGACCACCACCTCAATCTACACGATTCTGAGCAACTCCGTGCGAATCCACCCCCGTTTGATCACTCTGAGCTAAGTTTTCTATATCATTCTCCCTTCTTTTCAATCTACAGCTGTCTTGATTATTTCCCAGCCGGTATTCACATTCTGCTGCACGACTCGGCGCTGTCACTGGCACGACCTGGACACTTCTCGGTCCCCGTGAGGACCACTTATTTCTTCTTCACCGTCGACGTAGAATGTTGCGGTTCAGGGTGCGTTCAGTCCGAGCCCAAGTCCAGGCAGGAGTGGCCCAGGGAGACACAGTACTCCGGCCGTCACACAGTGGTTGAATGCTTTCAGATGCCTTTTGAACCAGCAGCGCCGATTCCCGATCATGCCGGTGCGCGGCATTCATCACCAATTTGATCTTGATTTGATCAGGCAAACAGCACCTTCGATGACAGCGATAACCTCGACTTCGCGGCGACTCATACGTATACTCTCGCAGTGTAATATTCTTCACCGCAGTCCCCACGTGCACTCAATCCCCACTGGACATCCACCCGCCTCGAGTCGCTCTCGACTCTCGACCGCAAATCTGACGACTGGACACTGAAATCTCCTCTCGACGTCTGCATGTAATCAGCTCAAAAATTGTGAAGCCTTCTCCTGCGACATTGGAATGACTGCCCCGATGTAGTCCGTTGCGCGCCACATCAGCGAGCTTCCGTGGCTGCGCACCTGCACCTCCACGCTGCCCATGTGCGGCTCTCGCTCTGGTTGCGCTCTGTGGCTCTTGCTACTGGTATCACATCTGAGGTCGAGATGGATTTGGGCGCAGTTGAGCGCAAGCGGGACCTTGTCGATGTGTCGGCAGCGTTGGTGCACAGACTAGCTTCCTGCGCATCCTTCGCGTCGCGCTGCTTTCTGACATAGGTTTTGTACAAGCTGGGGAGACGTAGAATTCTGGGCCATCAGGCCTAGGTCAGTCCATGCCATCGGCCCCACCCAAGCTTTTATTCATCTCGTCACCCATTTAGCCTCCCATAACGTCCAGCTTTCGAATATATCCATTCTTAGGCCTCGGAATGTACACAAACCCTGTCATTGAAGCAATGGCATGTGATACACAAGTTCTCAAAACATGAACCATTTCTTTCCGTTACATCCGGGAGACAATTCGTCTCGCAGTCGAGTCCCGTTGGAAAGTTTCTAAAGTGCTAACAAAACGCGTCCAGCTGTCTTCAGAGACAATTGGAGCCGTAGCATATGCTTCTACGCCCATATTGTTTATCAAACCCTCCATCCGAGGTAGAACTGCTTCAATCGCAGCGCTCTCCATATTCAGCTGTATGTCCTGCGTTAACCCCGCATGTTCAACGTACCACGCGGGGTCCGACTTCAAGCAGCTGACTATGTAGAGGTCGATCAGGCACTTTTCAATCCCAACACTCACTACTGCGTCGTAGGCGATCCGGTGGCCAAGAGCTTCAACTAAGCGCACTGCCTGAGGGAGGATGAAGCGACTGAAGTCCGGGGAACGATGGCTGGACATTCGAGCGATCCGATCTCGGCATCTTTGGAACACGCCAGTTTCATGTCTGGCGAGAAGGCTTTCACTGTCGGCCGCTGGTATCACGGAATATCGGCCTATCGGGATCTCGGTTGCAAGACCTAGGTGGAATAATTTTACCATTGTCCGGAATCGAGGACAATTCACTCACGGATGGAGAGGACCAACAAATCTCCCTCTGCGACCGCCACACCTTGCAGAGTTTTCTAGGTAAATTCAACTTTGTTGTCGCACAGGAAATATCGCGGAACTCACATGCATACTCGAGAGCTGATTTACTTCAAAAAGCCCTTGCGCCCCGCAACGCTCCGTTACATAAAGCTCGACGCACTCACCATCTGACCGTTTAAGAGAGCAAGAGTCTCTCGAGAAAATCGAGAAAATATAGAATAGCGAGCGCACAGTTGGTCTATATCGTCACTATACAGCTTAATTTGTGCGCCAGAACCATCGCCATGGACAGTCAATCTCGTCCAAACCTCCACCAAATTCTCCAAGATGTCCTGCAATTCCGCTTTTCGCAGGTCCTCGACCGCTTGCTGCATACCGTAGGACTTATAGAAGGATCTGCTTCCCCAACGGGTCAATTCTTGATTACCGAAATTGGCCACGGCTTGGATGCCGTTCATCTTGAAACAACTGCAATGCTGGTTGCGGACAGAACCTTTGAGCTCAACACCAAATGAGCAGGCTGCAAAGTTCATGCCTCCCACAACTCCAGCCGGCGTACCATGCGTTGCCGTAGTCTTTGCCAGTGCAATAATGTACGACGAAGATCAAGGAATCAAACCGTTCTTGTTCATCTGAACGATGACGATGTCATGTACCCGGGAATCACTTCAAAGTTAATCCGTCAATCTATTCAGAACACTCATTGGTACGTCACACCCTAGGTAATGGATGTAAGTATGATATATCCAAAAACGAAGTCAATCAGATCAGTATATTTAATGCTAGAGCGGATATGAGAAGATGCCTCAAAATTTGCCGAAAAAGGCAATTCCCATGCTTCTAACATATTTTCCAACATCACCCCCTCTGGAATCACAAGGAAAATCTATTGATAATAGTTTCAAGGGAATCGGTGAAGAACTGAGCTCAGTAGAGCTGAAATATCCGAAACATCAAAAAAAAAAAAAAAAAATTGAGCCGTGCCCTAAGTTCCACAACTGGCTGTAACAAACTACTGTCCTATTTCGACCAAGTGTTCATTAATTTCGGAATTTTCACTCACCGATTTCAATTCAATTCAAATTCCATTTGAGTGCACACGGGCCAATGGGGGCCCATGTGGCACTATACATGTATACAGGAGGGTAGCTAGCGGGCCTGGAGGGAGGGGCAGGAAGGGGGAGCTCAGTAGGTAGGGGTGGGGGCGGTGGGGAGGTGTGGTGATGTATGAGTTTTATATCTAGGCAGGTTGTCAAGGCAGTGGTACATGTACAGTGGCAGCAAAAAAGAATGAACACGGTCGTTTGGGCCCGTTTCTGGGTCAAGTCTCTTCAAATAAAATCGTGGCATGAAATATGAGCAATTTCATGATGATTCACATCATTTGAACCATACCATCCCTACCTGATCGGCCCTGAATTAAATAAATCAGCAACTTCTGAGAATTCGACTTTGTGGATTGATGTGGTATCAAAAAACGGTGATAATGGCATGAAAGTACTTGAAAAATGGATCATGGGCATATATCACTCAATATACTGTACAACCCTATAGGGGAGCAACACCTTGAGGACCGTGACAAAGCTGTTGCCTCTTTTTCAGGCAACGGGCCCCACCGTGAGCATGACTATTGCTCAAAGAAGCAACATGTTGAACAATCACTATATTTCTTTTGCCATTATAAGCTGTGTTTTTGGCAGTCAGAGCTAATATCTGCCATTGAATACACCCGAGGAGTGGCTTTCCACGATCCAAGGCAATTTCCGAGCCCTAAAGATGTCCCGCAATTTCTTTTCAAACCATGTCACGATTTTTTTTGAAGCAACAACTCACACCGTGACAGTGACCTGACACAAGGAGGATAACCAGATAACTTGTGCTCAAATATCTCAAAGATATGATTTACAATGACTTTTGTGTGTTCAAGTCCGCTGTGAGCCATCACATTGTGATAGCTCCCGACGTGACCTCAAAACACCGAACTCCGAGAACAACACCTTAAGCCTTCGACTAAAAATGATATCCGGACCCAACTAGGAACTCTGAACCCTCCATCAGCCGATATGAAAACGTTAGGTACACGGAGCGTGTTACCATTACGCCACCAAGCCATGACCGGACTACCCAAAAAGATGTCAATTACCACTGCGCTACCAAGCCACGAAGGACCATGACAAAAAATCATATCCAGACCCAACATGGCTTGACGGAGAATCGAACTCCGAACCTTCCATCGACCAATATAACGGAGCGCGTTACCATTATGCCACCAAGCCATGACCGGACTACCAAAAATGACAATTACCACTACGCTACCAAGCCACAAAGGACCATGACAAAAATCATATCCAGACCCAAGCATGGCTCGACGGAGAATTGAACTCCGGACTCTCCGTCAATCGATATAAAAATGTGCATATTTACGGAGTGCGTTACCATTACGCCATCAAGCCGTAAGAGTCGAACGACCAGCCAAGACGATCACCGTAAAAAGAAGGGTTTCCGTCGGAATGGCTCGACGGAGAATCGAACTCCGGACTTTCCGTCAATCAATATAAAAATCCATTAGATCAGAGTGCGATACCAGTACGCCACCGAGCCGTAGGAATCGAAAGACCAGCCAAAACTATCGCCGTGAAAAAGAAGGGTTTTCTTCATAATGGCTCAGCGGAGAATCGAACTCCGAACTTTCTGTGAAGCATACCGCGAACTACATAGGAATGCGGAATGCGTTACCATTACGCCACTGAACCGTTCAAAAACGCGCCCTATCTTCTTACTCGACAGACAAAAGGAACATAAAGGCCTGTTGGAGATTCGAACTCCGGTCCCTCCATTATTTCAGTTTCCCGCCAGCTACATGAACGGAGTGCGTTACCACTACGCCACCGGACCATGTGTGCGAGCAATACGAAGGTCCAGTAAGAGGCGCACGAAAAAGGAATGGAAAGGAGGGATGGCTCGATGGAGGATTGAACTCCGGACTTCCTGCAAAAGAGGTGCTTGTGCAAGAACCATGGCAGGATGCGTTACAGTTACGCCATCGAGTCGCGAATACCAAACGGCCCGAAAGGATGGAACGAGGACTCCGGGTAATCAAAAAGGTGGGTAACACGGGAAAAGGGCTCGACGGAGGATCAAACTCCGGACTCTCCGTAAGTCAAACACTGGGGTGAAAGGATACGGAGTGCGTTTCCACTACACTATCGAGCCGTCGCAGGCGGAAGCCGGATAGGAGGCGAGTTAGGACCGGACATGGAGTGTCCGAGACTAGGGCCAACAAGTCCGGGTTGTGGAATCGGTGCTGGACTGAAGATGGTGCGGGTAAGGGTTCACGGAGTTCTAGAATGAGTCATAAGCGAACTCCAGGGCGGAGGAGCGTGCGAGCGAGCAGGTATGGGACACAAAGGAACAACTCCGGCACAGCCTTGGGCTGGGGTATAAATACTACAGCTAGTCTACCAAAATATCATCTCAGTTTCGGCCCACATCCTCACCTTCTAAGCCTTAGCCAGCTTAGGAGTAGCTAAATATCCGCCCCGGACATCACCTAGAGGTCACCCGGAGTCGAGTTACACAGTAAAGCGACCCCGGTACTCCCCGCCGCCGTCAGACAGCGAACGGAGTTTATATTTCAGCATAAAAAGTTCAGTGCCGGAGAAATTGAACCGTTTATTCCTCCCCTACGCAAGTAGGGCAGTGAAATCTCTCAAACAGCACAGCGAGGTCTTCGGAGTTCGTGTGTAGCTGCTAGCTAAGGAAGTTGGCGGTGCAGAGCCCGCAGGAAGTCGCCTTCAGCAAGCGAACGGGTGAGAAGTAGAGAGAGGAAACTCCGTAGAGGCACAAAGAGGGGTAAAGGGAGGAGGAATTGCCGGAACGTTATCGCGAACACATAAATCCCCCGGTCTTACGATCTACGACTCAAAGATACTTCGGACGACTGTGGCTCGTGGTCCAGGAAGCCCCCAAATCCATATCTCACCTCGGACTTGACGAATTGGACCCCGCATCGCCCTCTGAAGGTCCTCCCCAAGGAAGTGTGGAACAGATTCAATCTCCGTTAACCCGAGAAGGCTAACTAGGCATCGGAGTTCGCTCGGACCACCCTAGCTAGTAGGATTTTGAACTAACTGTTCGAATCCTTGTACGGATATCCCCACCAATAATATTTTAACCTCCCTACGTACTTGTCTACCGCGACAGAACAAATTCCCCCTAGAGGACGAGCATTTAAACATAGCCTGGATCTCCCCACCATCTGGCAGTTTAAAGCACCGCAGTCCCCATCACACTGCAATATATAAAATATCTTCACAATATCTTCTTGATAACAAGGAGTATGAAAAAGATATCCTGGTCATTGAGAAGTTATTTTAAACATCCACTGGTGGAAGATTTCAAGTTTTTGAGTGAAAAAATTGGTGAAAAATGTTTTGAGTTTTACAGAAGTTTTTTGCCAAAAATGTAGGTAAAAAACTTGAATCATTTTCAAAAGTTTTCCAACTTTAGGTGAAATTTTCGAAATAAAATGGAAAACTGCTGAAAAACTCAAGAGTTTTTCACCTACATTTTTGGTGAAAAACTTGTGTAAAACCCAAACTAATTTTCACCAATTTTTTCACTCAAAAACTCGAAATCTTCCACCAGTGATCTTCTATATATTCCACTGACAAACATCGGAAATTTATTGTAAATGTTTTCAGCATATCTTTTGAATGTTTTAGGATAGGTCATACAGTTATCCTCCCTGTGCGAAAGAAAAAAGGCAACACAATGGCCCTCCAGTGACCGTGACCGTTGCTCCCCTACAGGGTTGTACATTACATTCATGGAGATTTGGCCTCACAATGAGCCTGTCAAAATGGCCATTTTGGGCAAATGAGCAAAATTGCCTCAAAATGCCAAAGTGAGCATTTTGCAGCGGGCATTGTGAGCTCAAAGCCCAATCAATCTGCATGGACCAAAATGTGGCTGGGGTCTATTTCTCAAGTAATTTTATGCTGTCATCACCATTTTTTGATACCCCATGAATCCACAAACTCGAATTCATAGAAAACCCGTATAATTTTTATTGTGAGCAACTGAGACAGGTAACATATGGATCAAACAAGGTAAAAGGTCATGAAATTGCCCATATTTCATACCACAATTTTATTTGAAGAGATTTGACCCAGAAACGTATGGTGAACAAGAACACTTTTTTTTTAACACAATTGCAAGCTATTGTTTTGTTTTAGGGTGATTGGAGTCATCTGAAGACCATGTGACCGGGTGCCCATTTGGGATATCTTCAGTCATACAGCCCAGCACTGTCAGAATCAGAGGCAGAAAGGGACTAGGAGGTGTGCCATAGCATTTGCTTTGATATTGATAGCCATAAATTGTCAGTAGCAAGACAAATAACAGTGTAGAGCTGGGTAGAGCCATCTTGGGTCATCAGAGCCTTTAATTCAGACGTTTTCATGCTCTTGCTCTGGGGATATTCCATGATGCAGGGCTTCATCAGTGAGACTCAAGAAGGAGTATGAACTGATTGGAAGTGCATCTGAGGGTATCCTGAGCTCATATGTGCTACCAGAGCTCTGGTAACACGTAGAAGTTGTGTTATTTGCTAGTATATCTTGATCCCAAATGGACGTGTCTGGTCACATGATCTACCGTGCTGTACGCAACCAAAATAAAACTTTTTTTTTTTTGACAAGGGTAGCAATAAGTTAGGGAGACAAGGGAACATGTATTTATGACATCCAAGAAAACTTTTATTGCTAAAGTCTGAGAAACCACACAGTATGGCGGTCCGTTTGCACTTTTATTCATCCAGCATATTTTCTGGCTTTTCCAGTGTTTTTTCAGTCCTTTTCACTGTCCTGTGTTTTTTTCTCAGACTTTAGCAATGAAAGTTTTCTTGGATGTCATAAATACATGTTCCCTTGTCTCCCTAACATATTGCTACCCTTGTCAAAAAAAGTTTTATTTGGTTGTGTACAGCACGGTAGATCACGTGGTCAGACACGTCCATTTGGGATCAAGATATACTAGCAAATAACACAACTTCTATGTGTTACCAGAGCTCTGGTAGCACATATGAGCTCAGGATACCCTCAGATGCACTTCCAATCAGTTCATACTCCTTCTTGAGTCTCACTGATGAAGCCCTGCATCATGGAATATCCCCAGAGCATGAAAACCTCCAAATTAAAGGCTCTGATGACTCCAAGATGGCTCTATTCAGCTCTACACTGCAATTTGCATTGCTACTGGCAGTTTATGGCTATCAGTATCAGAGCAAATGCTACGGCACACCTCCTAGTCCCTTTCTGCCTCAGGTTCTGACAGTGCTGGGCTGTACGACTAAAGATATCCCAAACGGGCACCCAGTCACATGGTCTCCAGATGGCTCCGATCGCCCCAAAACAAAACAATGGCTTGCAGGTGCGTAAAAAAAAGTGTGCTTGTTTAAGTACAAAAAAAAAAAGTTGGTGAGAATGAAAGTTTGTATGTTTTCAGCAAAAGTTAGTGAATAGGTGAAAAGGACTGAAAAAACACTGGAAAAGCCAGAAAATATGCTGGATGAATAAAAGTGCAAATGGACCGCCATAACACAGGACAGTGAAAAGGACTGAAAAAACACTGGAAAAGTCAGAAAATATGCTGGATGAATGAAAGTGCAAATGGACCGCCATAGAAACGGGCCCAAACGACCGTGTCCATTCTTTTTTACCGCCACTGTATGAGCATAACAGAAAATATGATCTTTCACTCACCGAGATGGCCGATAAATTGTCTTTTGAATTATCGCGATTTTTAATGAAAAATCAGCCGTCCCGCGTACGGTCGAAATAGTACAGTACTTACCAGTTCGAAGTATCCTCTGGCGAAAAGAACGGGGAAGATGATAGTCGAACAGAGAAAAGAAATGATCCCCGTGTATGACCCAGCTCCGAGTCGAACGGGGACCTTCTGTCTAACACCTGACTCAACTTTCGCATAAGATGAGCAGATGTACGCCGTGTGTTCCCGGGTCTATTCTTCTAGTCTCTCGTAGACAGATGCTACAAACTAAGAAGGTCGCACCTTGCATGTTTGTAGTTTGTTGATTGCCTGATTGGAGGTCGGGGTTATTATGTAAACATCGGAGTTTGCACGTCCCGTCACTCTTGTGACACCAGCAAACGACGCGTCTTGCTGCCATTTGGGAGGGACAAACTCCCCAAAACACGCGTAGAATAGCTTCAGGTACTCACAGAAGTCACAGGAAAACATCGGGGGCTCGAAAATTTAACTTTGAGCATGTTAAGTGTTCTCACGGGTGAGTGTTCATAATGAAGTGCTCGACTCGTGTCACTAACCCTCCATCTTTGCTGCGGTCCTTCTCATATGTTGGGAGCACATTCTCCAGTATCCTATACATATCATCTGATTTTAACATGAATTTATGGTGATTCATGAGCGAGTAATGAATATGCCGATCAAAGTACTTGGACTCCGCAACTGACGATCAAAAGCACAATATTCACCTCGCTACAAAGTTCCTTTTGGACAAAGAGCAGAGCCACGCCGCCTGCTACTGGGTCTTATTCCTATTGTTTGGGGGCCTGGATACATGAGATTGGAATTGAACCACGCCAAAAATGGGATCGGTACTTCGGAGCTTGGATAACTGAGCAGCAAAACAAGGCCTGGCGTGCGCTGTGGTTGAGCTAGTTGAATCCGTTGATCCAATAATAGTTTGAAAAGGCCGTTGAGCGTGCAG